TCCAGCCTTGTCTTTGTCTTTGCCTCAATATCTGAGATGTTCTTGAGCTAATTTCCCTTCCTAATTGTCTTTGGCTGGGGCGATGTCCCAGTGAGTCAGCATTTCCTCAATATGCAGAGGCCCAGAGATGGGCAGCCAGAAGGTGGGAGCAGGTCTGCTGGGGGCAGTCCTGGGGTGCAGAACGAGGAATGTAAGGAAGAGATACCACTGGGGGCATGGATGCTTCTTGAGATAGTCATTCACACATGAGAGGATTTTAATTCACCGCACAGAGGTGACTAATGACTCTGAAATCCAAGGGCTGCCCAGGCAGAGTGTGCTGAGCAGGTGAGGGGCCCAGGAATTAGGGTGATGGGAGTGTTTGGGGGAAGATGACGTTGTTGGCCTTGGCTGTTCCCATGATGCTGTTCTAAGCATGAAGAGCCTTGGGAGCACACAGCACTGGGGCTGGAGAGACAGGCAGGGGCAACCAGGTGCATGGGTCGGGGGTGGCCTGGCCCCAGCTGGAGGAGTGGGGAGGAGAGCGATTGCCTGCCTCACCTTTGCTGGAGGCTGATGAGCTTCAGAGAACAGCCTCCTTGAGTCCTGATCAACCAGACAACCCTTGGAGTTCCTTCCCAGCTCTGCTTCCTATCTGTGACCTGTGTGGTTGCTTCCTCCCTGTCCAGGTGATGGTGTGGATCCACGGAGGAGGTCTGGTGGTGGGCGGGGCATCAGCCTATAACGGGCTGGCCCTCTCTGCCCATGAAAACGTGGTGGTGGTGATCATTCAGTACCGCCTGGGCATCTGGGGATTCTTCAGGTAAGATATTGGACTCCGCACAGCACATGGGCCCTTGAAGTGAGGGTGGCAGGACCCAGCTCTGGTCATATCATGTCAGCTCCTCAGGAAGGCATCCAAATCCCTTTATAATTGGGCTCCACACTGTCTCATTTCGCAACCACGCTGGTCCACCTGGTCCTGAGCTTTTGCATGCGCTGTTCCCTCTTCCTGGAATGCCTGTTCTACTTGACCCACTCCTATGCGTCCTATAAGGCCCAACTCTAACGTTCCCGCCTCTGAAATGCTCACCTCCTTTTTATCTGTGCTGTCACAGCTTAACTTTTGATTTACAAACGCATATGTTAATAAATTTGTGTTGACTTAAACCACTAGTTTGGTAGTAATTTATTGCAGGGAAATTAACACAAACTATAACAGCCAACAAGACACAATGCATCCCCACATACTTCACTGTATTAGTGTACAATTAATGATAGCACTGGGAGGTGTCAGAGCATCTGATTCCCTAGGCCAAACCTCCCAGGAGGAATGTTGGGGTCACTCGTCCTGATTGCTTCCGCATTTGGCACGTGCATGTGCCAAGGCTAAAGTCTTCTCCATGGAGTCTCCATGGAGACAGGAGCCAGGGTTCCTTAGGGCAGAGTTTCTGGTAGGTTTTCTCAATGCTCTGGCCCTGGGACCTTGGACCCTGCGATGGCTGATGGGCAGGAGGTGGAGTGGACACTCGCTGGAAAGACCTGTAGGGCTAGAAGAGGGTATTAGGGGAGTCATATCCCAGGATGCAATGCCTTCATCGAGACTCTTCATCTCTTTCACTGCCCCTCCCCCTGCCCCATTTCTCTGCTCCCTGTAACATAAAACTGCTCCATCAGCTCTCCATGTCTTCTCTCCTTCCAGTCTCTCCTCTCCCCATACCAGTCAGGTTTCTACTCAGACCATGCCACTGGACTGTTCTGGTGGAGGAGGAGGTCTCCAGTGACACACCAGCTCTGGGCCCAACCTTGGCAGCATCCACACATCACCCCTCATACCTCTTTGAAATACTTCCTTCTCTTTGCTGAGTGTTCTGCATTCACACTTTTGTTCACTGGACCCTGGGGCCTTTGCATGTGCTACCTCTGTCACCTGGAATTCCTTTCTTTGGATATTGGCAAGGTTCTTGTGCTCATTCATTCAGATCTCTACTCAGATGGGGCTGCCTCCGAGATGCCTTCCCTAGACATCTGATCTGAAATAAGACCCCACTGCCCCACTCCTGCCTTTTCCCTGACCCTATTTTATTTACCCTGAGAGCATTTTCACTAAAGGTGTTCTATTCTTACTAGTATCCCGGTGCCCAAAATTCGTGCACATTAAAAGGGAATTAATTGCCCTAACTGGTTTGACTCAGTGGATAGAACATTTGCCTGCAGACTCAAGGG